TCCGGGCCGTACCCCTCCCAGTCCACCAAATATTGAAGACCCCGACCACAGGGGCGAGAGTCGAGGATGCGCCGCACCTTGTATACCAGCCCCCCTTTGTAGAGCTGAGCAGGAGGAGGCGGAGCCGGAACCGGGCACAGAGGGCTGGAAACGACGGGTTTGATCAGGGAGACATGGAACACAGGATGGATCCGAAGAGACGACGGGAGTTCCAACCGCACGGTCGTCGGACTAGGGACCGCCGTGACCTTGAAGGGACCAAGGAACCTAGGAGAGAACTTCCTGGTGGTCGCCTTCAGCGGGACATCCTTGGACGACAACCAGACCATTTGACCGGGAGAGTAGGTGGGAGCAGGACGACGGTGTCGGTCAGCCAGTCGCTGATTCCTTTCCGCGGTCCGCTGAAGAGCCGACCTCGTGGTGATCCAAGTGCGGCGGGCCCGACGAAGGAACTGAGGAGTGGTGATGGTGGCATCTGTATGAAGGGGGAACAGAGAGGGCTGATATCCGAGGGAGGACTCGAAGGGAGACTGACCTGTGGCGGAGGAGACATGGCTATTATGGGCATATTCGACCCAAGCCAAATGCTCACTCCAGGTGGATGGGTTGGTGGCGCAGACGCAGCGAAGCATGGCACCCAACTCTTGGTTCATCCGCTCGCATTGTCCATTGGTCTGCGGATGAAACCCCGAGGTCAGAGCCACCTGGGCTCCCAAGGCGGTGGCAAACTCTCTCCAGACACGAGACACAAACTGGGGGCCTCGGTCAGAGAGGATCTCTGTTGGGATCCCATGCAGACGAAAGACATGTTTAATTAAAAGCTGGGCCGTGACGGCAGATGTAGGGAGAGCCTTTAACGGCACTAGATGACAGGCTTTGGAGAACCTGTCGACAACAGTTAAAATGACACTAAAACCATGCGAAGGTGGCAACCCACAAACAAAGTCCAAAGCAATATGGGACCAAGGACGGGACGGCACTGGTAGGGAACAGAGTAGGCCTGCTGGAGACTGATTGGTACCTTTTTGTTGGGCACAGACGTGGCAGGCCGACACATACTCCTTCACGTCTCTGTAGAGGGAGGGCCACCAGAAAGATCGCCTGATCAGAGCAACAGTACGTCCTACTCCAGGGTGGATTGAGAACCTCCCGGTGTGAGCCCAGTGAATAACCTTTCCTCATAGTGCCTGGGGAACAAACAGTCTGTTGGAGGGTCCGTTACCTGGGCCAGGATCCACCTTAAGGCCCTCCAGGACCTGGTCTCTTATGGGCCATGTTACTCCAGCAACGATGCAGGAGGCAGGCAAGATGGTGCTAGGAGCCGTCTCATCTTCAGAGGAGTGCTGGCGAGACAGAGCGTCAGGCTTTGTGTTCTTTGATCCTGGTCTATAGGACAAAACAAAGTTAAAGCGGGAGAAGAACAAAGACCACCTATACTGTCGAGGGTTCAGTCTCTTTGCCTCCTTGAGATAGATCAGGTTTTTATGATCAGTCCAAATGATAAATGGTAGTTCAGCCCCCTCCAGCCAATGTCTCCACTCCTCCAAAGCCAGTTTCACTGCCAGTAACTCCCTGTCCCCCACGTCATACCTGCTCTCGGTGGGTGTCAAGCGCCGTGAGAAGAAGGCACACGGATGAAGTTTGTGGTCTTCTGGGGATACCTGAGAGAGGACTGCGCCAACCCCGGTGTCAGAGGCGTCCACCTCCACAGTGAACTGCTGCTTGGGGTCTGGTCTGGAGAGGACTGGGGCCTCGGTGAACCTCCTCTTCAGAGTCCTAAATGCAGCTTCGGCTTCTGGAGACCAGGAAAAGGGCTTAACAACAGAGGTTAGAGCTGTCAGAGGGGCTGCGGTCTGGCTGTAATTGCGGATAAACCGTCTGTAAAAGTTTGCAAAGCCAAGAAACCGCTGCAGTTGTTTCCTGGTGGCAGGGGTAGGCCACTCAGTCACTGCTTGGACCTTGTCTGGGTCCGCCCTCAGCCGTCCACTTTCTAAAACAAAACCAAGAAACTTAACTACTGAAACATGAAATTCACATTTCTCGGCTTTTACAAATAGTCTGTTCTCCAACAGCCGTTGGAGTACCATCCGAACATGTTTCTGGTGTTGATCAATGGACCTAGAAAAAATCAAAATATCATCAAGATATACAGATACAAAGTCATTAATGTAGTCCCCCAACACTGAGTTCACGAGTCTCTGAAACACCGCTGGAGCATTAGTGAGGCCAAAGGGCATCACCAAATATTCAAAGTGCCCCAGGGGTGTCTTAAAAGCTGTCTTCCATTCGTCACCTTGGCGGACTCTGACCAGGTGATATGCATTGCGGAGATCCAACCGCGTAAAAACAGTGGCATCTTGCACAGGTTCAAAGGTTGATGAGAGTAGAGGGAGTGGGTACTTGTCCTTCACCGTTATTTGATTTAAACCCCTGTAATCAATACAAGGGCGAAGCGACCCGTCCTTCTTGGCCACGAAGAAAAACCCAGCTCCCAGAGGGGAGGTGGATGGCCTGATTATGCCATTGGCCAGGGCCTCTGTAATGTATTTCCTCATACTGTCCTGTTCAGGTTTGGACAGACTGTAGAGGCGGCTGGTTGGGAGCGGAGCTCCTGGCAACAGGTCTATTCCAATGTCAAATGGACGGTGAGGTGGCAATGTGGCTGCTTGATCTCTACTGAACACTTGCTGCAAGTCATGGTACTCACTTGGTACCTGGGTGAGATCGGGCGGCTCCACAAGAGTCTTTTCAGAGTCCTTGGATCCAGAGGAAGCAGAGGTCAGGCAGGTAAGATGACACTCCGGACTCCAGGTCTCCACACGGCTTGATCTCCAGTCCAAACACGGGTTGTGTACCCTAAGCCAGGAATGGCCTAGAACTACTTGGTTCTGCGGGGAGGGAAACACAAATAATGAGATCATCTCCGTGTGGTTACCTGAGACCTGGAGCTGGAGTGGTTGGGTCCGGTGGGTGATTGTGGCCAGGGGCCTCCCATCCAGGGAGGACACTGTTAAAGGTTCCGGCAGTGGAACAGTAGACAGTCCCCAATCCCGCACCAGTTGAGGGTCCACCAAAGACTGTTCACATCCTGAGTCTACTAGAGCAGTCGTCCGGTGGCGACGACTGTTAACAGTCAAAGCACAGTCAATAAGAAAACGGGAGGTCTCTTTACCTGAATGACTGCCCACCAGAACTCCCGGAACTACTGGTGGGCACGCCCTTTTGACGCCGCAGGGCAAGTGTGCACCATGTGTCCTGGTTTTCCACAGTAAAGGCACAACCCTTTACTGTAACGATGTTGGCGCTCCTCTGGAGTAAGGTGGGTACGTCCCACATGCATGGGCTCCTCGGGTGAGTCCAGAGGAGGAGACCTATGGGATGGACGATGTGCTACAGGTGGTGACAGATCCCTGAATGGTGTCTTCTGAAGCTCCCTGTGTCTCTTGTCGATAGAGATGCATAATGAGATCAGTCCGTCCAGGGTTGATGGCTCGGGGCACAGAGCCAGCTGGTTCCTTACCCGATCGTTCAGCGCTTCGATGAATGCTGCTTTAAGGGCATCGTCTCCCCATGATGTCATTGCAGCCAAGGTCCTAAACTCCAGAGACATGTCAGCCACTGACCTTCTTCCCTGCGAGAGGTGCAACAGTCTTTTTCTGATGTCAGTGGTGGTCTCTGAACTGCAAAAAGTCAGTTTAAAATCCTCCAGAAAGTCTGGGTAAGAACCAGACAGGAAATTAGGATTTCTGCTCTTAGCCTCCGCCCACCGAAGCGCCTTGCCTCTAAGTAGTCCAACAATAAACGAGATCTTCATTGAGTCAGTAGGAAAAGACCTCGGGGAGTCTTCAAACGCTAGGCGGCACTGTAGCAGAAACCCAAAGCAATCCTCGAATTCACCGGAGAAGGTCGGACATTGCCGAGGAGGAGCCGAACGGAAGTGGGTGATTTCCGGAGAGCCGAGCGCCTCCGGTCCAGGTGAAACCACACCTCCCGAGGCGTGTGCGTGTGGTTCTGTTCCGAACGCCGGAGCGGCGGCTGTCGCTGGAGCGGGGACGGAACCCGAGGCTGTAGAGGAGAGCTGCTCCTGAAGCTGCTGCAGGACGGTCTCCAAACGTTGATAACGTTGGTTGGTGATATTCAGCTGCTTCATGAGGACGGGAAGTGTCTGCTCTTGTTGGGACATCCGGGTAGCCAGATCCGCGAGTGCTGACTCCGCTGGATTAGATGTGTGGCCGGATGATTCTGTCATGGCTCGAGGTAAGTGTCTAACCCAAGACATGCAGAATCAGCACACGTAGTCCAAAGCAGTAAAGTAAAATGTCTTTATTATAAAAACGGGAACTGAAACCGCACAGGGAAGTCCTGTGGGATGAGCAATACGGCTCGAGTCTCTGAGGTGCTCAGGTTAATCAGTAGAGGAGGGGAAGCCGGGGAGGACGCTGGGCAGAGGATGAGAGATCCAGGAGGGGTGAGGTAGCAGAGGGAAAGCTAAACAGGAACGGCGGAGGAGGATGGGACGTGATGAGTATGTTCCAGAAAACGAAGACAGCGAGGGTGAGTAGATGATGAGATGATCCTGAGCGAGACAAAAACAGGCGTAAGGGATAATCCAATTCCAAATCCAAAATACAATCCAAGGTCATAAATCCACTAGTCGAAGGCGAGTCAAAACACGAATTAACAAGATCAAAGTTCAGAGTCGAGTGGCTGGTGCTACCTAAACTGGTGCAATCATCCGGCAAAGTGATGTGTCTCCATCCTCCTTTTGAACCCACGTCCCTGATTGGGAAATCTCCTGCAGCTGCCGCTCCCCCTGCTCCTCACCTGTGGAGAATTAGCTCAGAGTCTGGTGAGAGGAGAAGGTGTGACTCACCTCTGCCCAGGAACATGACATAATGTTGAAAGCCAGCTTTTTGGGGATGCCTGCCAGGAGGCCATATCTCTGCTTAATCACACCACTGACAGGACCCTGGTTTTTAAGATGAGAGAAACTTTTCAGCATGGACGTAATTTGAGGGGGGACAGGGGGGACATGTTCCCCCCACTTTTTCCAAAGTCAAGTTTTGACCCCTGCACTTTTTACCATCCTAAAACAATATTACGCTATATTAAATTGACACTGGTTGAGCTGTAGGACCAAGCGGAAAGCAACCATTTGTGTTGAAGCCGGTTTCCCATTAGAACATATTGTAAAGATACCCCCCCCCCCCCCCGTGTCCCCCCCCCACACTTCTAAAGTGAAAATTACGTCCTTGCTTTTCAGCATAGTCAGAAGCTTATCAAAGATGCCAACGGAGGAACAGATATTCTGAAAACTTCCCACGGCCCCTGGATACAAAAAGACTGGTAGGTGTTCATAAAGTGTTAAAGTCTTCCAATGTAAATTTTTACCAAATAATGATAATTTATTCTCTGCTGTTTGTCAAAGGTTGATCAAGACTTCAGTGTTCTGTTTAATGAAGACACCTCCTCCAGACTGTTGCAGAAGTCGGATGGGTTCTTCAAGCCAAATGTCATCAAGGAGGCAAAGCGGCTCACTTCAACACCTGAGTTATGAAGTTTGGTCCAGTCAGCAGAACGATCTCCTGGAGATGGTCAAGATGAGGCATCTGGTGAATCCCTAAGTAAATCTGAACTTGAGTGACAGTTTAAACTTTCCAATACTGCTCAATGTTTTCATAAAGTTAAGAGATGTTTCACAAGGTAAGTTCATTGTGATTTTGTCCTCAGCCTACGACCAAGAAATAGCCTCCTTGTTGCTGCTCAGACATCTCCTTCCATCACCACCAGGAGGACAGAGGTCTCCCAGAATCAGTGCCTGTGATGCAGTGGAGAGACTTGTTGTCTTTCATAAGGTAACTGATAATGTACAGTCATTTCTCACTTCACATTCATAAACTTGTACAAAACAATAGGTTGAAAGGATTTCTTAAAGAGATTAAATTATTTCACTAGCAAGTATAAATCTTTAGATTTTTTTATGATGGCCATTGCTGTTTTTCTTATGTTCTTATTTTTTTAATCCTAGTCCTGCTGCAGTTTGGAGGAACATCTCCAGAGTCAGCTGGGTCGGCAGCCATACCTCCTTGTTGTTGGGCGTCAGAGGAGCAAGATTGAAAGCTTCTACATTGTCATGGATAAGAGCCTCATCCCATGCCAGGCTAACCGATCTCTTGGAGCATTTGATGAGTTATTCAAAACACACTTTGTGTTTAATGTCTCTTATGACGCTGCACTGGTGAGTTTTTATACATTTCTCCAGACAACAGTGTATAACATTGATGTAGTCAAAATGAAGGAGTCACCCAGAGTTAGGGACTTGAGAGCGAGGCTGCTTAACCAGTCAGTTGTGCTCTTCTGTGAGTAAGTCAGGCTAAACAATATGTTGACCGGTTTTATGTGTCAGAAACTGATTCCAAGCAGTCAGCTGTTGATTTCACATTTAAGAGTTGAGCATAGCTACTATGCTAGGCCAAAGTTTAAATTATTTTGCTCTCAGCAAGGCTGCAGGCATCAGTTCCTGACATACGCAGGTTTTCGTAGGCATCTTAATAGTGTTCATAGTGATGTTAAGCAAGTTTCACAAAGTTCAGCTATTGCAGGTTCACCATAGCCTAGTGAACTAGACCAAATTCTTGCTTTGCAAAGAATGGTCTAGGCATGCTCCATTGGAACCTCTGCAGCTCCTACCAGGACTCTGGCTAGCCAATCACAGCTCTCTAGAGGGGTTTCAAACACATAAAGAGCTGTGATTGGTCCATAATGGTAGGCCAGTCATAGTGCTCTATCTGCTTAGTGAACAAATCACAGAGCTTTATCCGCTTTGTGGGCCAATCAGGGCACTCTATATGCCTGGTGGGTGGGATGATGCAATTGAGTGAAACAAGAGTATGTCACATTCATTGTCCAATAGCATGCAGAGATCATTTGAAAGACAACGGTAGAACCCGCCCCACAACCGAGAGCCGTCAATGGAGCGTGGCCAGACTAAATAATACATTTATTTAGTCTGGCTTGCCAGGCTAGGTTCACCATCTAGTAATCCAGTTGTGCCAGGTCAGGCAGATGCTTTGGACACCCAGTTAATACCCCTAGATAACTGTTGTTCCGATGATGCTCTTAATGAGAGTACTTCTCCAATTTCTAAAGATCAAACTAAATGTGCGCATCCATAGTGGCCAAGTTACAGGCCAGTGGGATCTCTGGTAGTTTGGTTTCCTCAGTTGTGGGGGATTTAGAAGAACTAACTAGAGAGATTCATTTGAAAGCAACTCAAGCAGCTGTTTCTGTATTACCCTTTGACTGATCCCAACATTTCTGTGATAAACGAATCATTAGAAAAATTTGAAAACCCATTCACAAATCTTAATACAGAATGGAAACGAAACAAATATTTCAACCAATAATGGGGTGTTGTTGAGCCAATAGAAATAACACTAGGGATAAGATATGACAGCAGGCAAAATAAAAAAAACTGGTGCTTATGATCAAATTCCAGTTGATGATACTTTTGTATCTGTGCCAACATTAGAAACATTACAGTTCATGTGCAGAAACCCAGATATCTGTGCCTTACTTAAGAGGGAACATCAATCTGAGCAGGACGCTTATACAAACTTCTCTGATGGAAGCTATTTTAAAGCACATCCTCTGTTTTCAGCAACAAAAGATGCATTACAAATTCAGATTTTCAATGATGATTTTGAACCAGCCAATCCCCTAAAGACGGAATTCACAAAATTGGTTGTCTTTATTTTGTTCTAAGAAACCTCCCTCCTAAATTTAATTCAGTTTTGATGAACATTCATTTGATACCACTATTTCATACTCAAGATCTTCACAAATGTGGTTTTGATGCTATTCTGGAACCTTTGATGAATGATATAAAACATCTGGAAAGCCAAGGGCTCAGTCTTCCGTTTTCTGATGAGCCCGTATACCCTCACCCTCAACGTCACAAAGACAGAGGAGATGATAGTGGACTTCCGGAGGAGCAGAGGAATACACACCCCCATCACCATCAACGGCGACGCTGTGGAGAGGGTGAGCAGCTTCCGTTTCCTTGGAGTTCATCTGGCAGAGGATCTTACGTGGTCAGTGCACACGGAAAATACAGTGAAGAAGGCACAGCAGCGCCTCTTCTTTCTCAGAAGACTGAAAAGATTTGGCATGAGCCGCTGCATCCTCAGGACCTTCTATCGCTGTGCCATTGAGAGCATCCTCACTGGTTGCATCTCCGCCTGGTATGGCAACAGCACCGCTTACAATCGTAAAGCTCTCCAGAGAGTAGTGCGGTGTGCTGAAAGGATTATTGGAGGTGAGCTTCCCTCCCTCCAAGACATCTACAGGAAGCGGTGCCTGAGGAAAGCGGGGAGGATCATCAAGGACTCAAGTCACCCCAGCCATAAACTGTTCAGACTACTTCCATCAGGAAGGAGGTTCTGCAGCATCCGGTCCAGAACCAGCAGACTGAGAGACAGCTTTTTCCACCAGGCCATCAGACTGCTGAACACTTCGCAGATACCGCACCCTCACTACTGAAACTCCAACATTACACACTCCATACTGTACATTAATGCCACTGTTTTGCACATACCAACCTCTGTACATTTTATATCTCTTATCTTATTGTTTACTTTATTCATTTGTATACTTAGATTAGCCATTTTTAAATTTTACTTGTTTTTACATTACTGTATTTTTGCACAACTCTGTTGCTGTGAAGCTCGCACACAAGAATTTCACTCGCATGTACTGTACCAGTGTACCTGCACATGTGACGTGACAATAAAAGTGATTTGATTTGATTTGATACGGTGCAATCTCTCAGGTAACTGGAGATCATTTAGGGATGCACACAATTCTTGGATTCAAAGAGTCTTTCAGTAGTCGTTACTTTTGTCGGATGTGTTTATTAGAAAAAGTGACTCTCAAACTGTCTACAGTGAGGATGATCCTAAGGTAATCCTTTGCTCAGAAGAGATATTTGAAATGCATTATAAATCTTTACAAGAAAGCCCACAGATAAAGTCAGCAGATGGTTTAAAAAGACAATCCTCACTTCATTCTTTAAAGTATTTTCATGTATCAAATAACTATTCCTTTGACATAATCATCGGACATAATGCATGATCTTCTTGGGTATTGTATCACCCAAGATGCCGTCGAGTATGGCTGCCTCGTCGCGAGCTCCACCAAGCAACAGCTGTTTTTTGTGTTTACTACTTTTTCTTTCTTTATTTTTTCACGAGTAGCTCTCACGAGTAGTCTCCTTGTGTACGACCGACAAACCTTACTGGACATAAAAGATGGATTTTCTCATTACTTTCCGGAGTTCAGGTTTTTCATCACGGACCCGCCGTTTGCAGATCCCCCATTCATCTCACCTGAGACGCCTTTGTTCTGGGCCCGTGGAGGCCGCAAACGCCGACGCAGAGGGAGAAGATCTGGCGTTCTGGTTCGACTGAGACGGCGCACTAACAGACCACCATTACCCAGTTTACTACTGGCTAATGTGCAGTCCCTGGAGAACAAGCTGTGCGAGCTTCGGGCTCGGATCTCATTCCAGCGAGAGATGCGGGACTGCTGCGCGATCTGCCTCATAGAAACCTGGCTATCGGACAAAGTACCGGGCACCGCAGTACAACTACCGGGGTTCTCCGTGCACCGCGCGGACAGGTCACAGGAGCTTACTGGGAAAAGCAGAGGTGGTGGTGTGTGTTTCATGATCAACAACAGCTGGTGTGATTATGCGAATGTGCACCCGGTCAAATCCTTCTGCTCTCTGGACCTGGAGTACCTGATGATTAAGTGCCGCCCATTCTGGCTACCGAGAGAATTCACAGCGGTGATTATTACGGCTGTTTACATTCCCCCACAAGCCGACACTGACCGAGCACTCAGGGAACTGTACGGCGCGATCAGCAATGAGGAAACCGTACACCCAGAGGCGGCGTTTATTACAACAGGGGACTTTAATAATAAGGGTAACCTGAAGAAAGTCTCACCAAAACTGCACCAACACATCCATTTCAATACACGTGGAGACCGGCTACTCGACCACTGCTACACCTCTTTCCGGGATGCGTACAAAGCCCTCCCCGGCGCCCCATTCGGCCAATCAGATCACCGCTCCATCCTGCTTATACCTGCCTACAGGCAGAAGCTGAAACGGGAAGCTCCAACCCTGAGGGCGGTGCATCGTTGGTCGGACCAATCGGAGTGGGATTGTTTTGATCACGCGGACTGGGAAATGTTTCACGCGGCTGCTAGAGACATTGATGAGTACACAGACTCAGTCTGCGGATTTATCAGAAAATGCGTGGAAGATGTCGTCCCATCCAGAACAGTTAAATCCTTCCCAAATCAAAAACCCTGTATTAATGGAGGTGTGCGAATGGCGCTGGCGGCGCGGAGCACCGCCTTTGCCTCCGCGAACACATCAGACTACAAACATTACCAACTCCGGAAGACGATCAAAGCAGCCAAAACGTGAATACAGGGACAGGGTGGAGCAACAGTTTGACAACCCCCGGAGTATGTGGCAGGGACTAAACACAATCACAGACTTTAGAGGGAAAACCAGCACACCGCAGACCACGGCCTCTCTGTGTGAGGATCTAAACGCAGTCTATGCCAGATTTGACACAGCGAACACCATGAGACCGGACAGTGAGTGCACCGCGGATGACATCAGTGCGCACACTGTGTCTGAGGAGGATGTGCGGAAGTGCTTCAGGAGGGTGAATGCACGCAAAGCTACTGGTCCGGATGGGATTCCCGGCTGCGTCCTCAGGTCATGCGTGGCTCAGCTGGCTGGAGTGTTTACACACATCTTCAAACTTTCCCTCTCTCTGTCTGTAGTCCCAGCCTGCTTCAAAATGGCCACCAATGTCCCTGTACCCAAATCCTCCACCATCTCCTCATTGAACGACTGGCGACCTGTAGCCCTGACCCCCATCGTGAGCAAATGCTTCGAGAAGTTGGTCAGGGACTTCATCTGCTCTGCACTACCCGATTCACTGGACCCTCTACAGTTTGCATACCGCCACAACAGGTCCACTGATGATGCCATAGCCCTGACACTCCATGCTGCCCTGTCACACCTGGAGAAGAGAGACAAGTATGTGAGAATGCTGTTTGTAGATTACAACTTTTTGCAGATGATGTGGCCCTGTTGGCCTCATCAGAACATGGTCTTTGGCCTTTGTTAGAGTGGTTTGCAGCCGAGTGTGAGGCAGCAGTGATGAGAATCAGCTCCTCTAAATCCGAGACCATGGTCTTGAGTTGAAATAGGGTTGAATGCCTTCTCTGAGCCAGGGATGAGGTCCTGCCCCAAGTGGAGGAGTTTAAGTATCTTGGGGCCTTGTTCACAAGTAAGGGAGAGATGGAGCGCAAGATCGATTGGTGCTGTGTCTGCGGTGATGCGGGCGTTGAGGTGGCCCGGGCATCTTATTTGGATGCCTCTTGTATGCCTCCCTAGTGAGGATTTCCAGGCATGTCCAAACAGGAGGAGACCTAAAGGAACACGCTGGAGGGACTATGTTTCTCGGCTGGCCAATGAACACCTAGGGATTCCCCTGGAGGAGCTGGCCCAAGTGGCTGGGGAGATAGTAGTCTGGGCCTCTCTGCTTAGGCTGCTGCCCCAGCAACCCAACTCTGGATAAGCGGACAGAAATGGATTGATGGATAATTACTCTTCCCAGGGGAAATTTTCCAGACTGCCTTTGCCCAGCGGTCAGGGGACCTTTTAGAGACGGACATGATGACAGTGATGTGTTATTTTTAGCGTCAGAGATAAATGAGGAAAAAAAACACCACCACCACGCTAACATGGAGAGTGAGGAGGCTACTATGCTCATGACCT